ATGTATATACGTATCTCTGTGTATATGATTATGAAACTGTGTAAATCCTGCTAACCAGTACCTTCAATCTTGATCCAACAGGATTTATTTTCTTCTCAAAGTTCAAGTAAGTCAAAAAGTACATCTCTCCAGCCCAGCAAACTCCCTACATCAGTCTTGCTTTTTGATGATGATGAAGAGGTAAGCTTTGTTATTAAAACAACAGATCACTAATTTGTAGATGAGTAAATAGAAAACTACAGTTGGTGTGGCTTTAGGCAAAAAGTACCAGGAATAGTAAAAAGGACTACAACCAAACCATCAGCACTTTATACCAGGAAAAATATTTCAGAATCTCTCTCTTACCTAGTGCTGCTTTAATAGAGAGACTACAAGTGAATGGCTTTAATAAATAGACATTTACTCTCACAGTTTGAAAAGTTGGAAGTCCAAACAGAGTACCAGCCCTAAGGAAAGACATTCTCCTTGTGTTTCCTGATTTCGGAGTTTGCCATTGCAGGAACCTAGGTCTGAAGAGTATACTCCGCTCTTAGCTTTTCTTTTTGATAGTACTGAGGTCCCCTCGTCTCTGATCCCTTTTCTCTTGTTAGTTAAAAGATATTACTCATATGCCTGTATACACAGTGCCATGCTCCAGGGAAACTCCCCTTACATTGGATTAGGGTTGTGGTGGGATCACGGCTGGTGCATCCCACTCTTGGGCTCTGGTGATGTAGTCCATCAGGAGTTTTACTACCAACCCAGAGGCTAATGAGCTTCCCTGATGGTTTGAATCCACTGAGAGAAGATAAGCAATCTCCTCCCCTACAATTTACAACCTCAGCAACACAATAGAGGGTCAGCCATGAGTCGGTTCCAACTACGCAGCAGTGCTTCAATTTGTTTTGTTGGGATCTTTTTATATCTTAACCATAATCCTCAGGTGTAATCATATCACTTCTACATTAGATCCCTACGGTCTTGTATAGATACATAGTTCTATCCAAAAATAGTCTTTTTATCAGCTACACAATGAGAACATTAGATTCTTGACTCAGTTCTTACTAAAGGCTTTATAGATTTTAAGTATGTGTGTTTTAGAAATACTTAGAAAGTAAAATTTTGTTGCCTTCATTGATCTATAGAGAATGTCTTGGGTGGAAGTAGACAGACAATAAAAGCTGTATTCTTTCTTACCATCTTACCTGTTCTGCAGTGTTGTACCTCGGCTAAGCTCGCAGACTTTGGAATCGGTCCCCCTGAGTTTATATCACAGCTTTATCACTTGCTATAGACCAGGAACCTTGGGCAAGTGACATTACTCTTCTGGGTCTTATAAGACTTTGCAGTATCTAAAAATAGTTTTCATTGTGGTATTGAAAACAATCAACTCATGTAAAGCATTTAACTTTTGTACCTGCCACATATTATATATGTATATTATATATGGTAGTTCTTTTGACACCAACTACTTATCCTCATCACTTTTCTTACTTTAAGGATCTCTTTATATTTTCACATTTCATGACTATTCTCTTGCATATTATTAAGAGCATTTGTTCATCCTATCTTGTTGTTATGTGCCATCGAGTCACCTGCAACTCATAGCAACCATGTACAACAGACCTAAACCCTGCTCTATCCTGTGCCAGTCTTACTGTCTCTGACACATCTACCCCAATTACCCCAGTCACTGAATCTCATCAAGGGTTGTCCTCTCCTGCACTGTCCCTCCTCCCTCCCAAGTATGATGTCCCTCTCCAAGGACTGGGACCTCCTTGCAACATGTCCAAAGTATGTCAGATGAAGCTTTAGAATCCTTGCCTTCAAAGAAGCATCCTGGTCTCACCTCTCCAGGATAAACATGTTCATTCTTTTAGCAGTCCATGGTATATTCAATATTCTTCTCTAACACACAGCTCAAAGGTATCAATTCTCCTTCTGTCATCCCTAATCATTGTCCAGCTCTCTGATGCAAGCAAGTGATTACAAAGACCATGGCCTGTATCAGGCACCCCTTAGTCTCCAGACTGACATCGTTACTCTTCAGTACTTTAGAGAGGTCTTTAACTGCAGACTTTACCATTGTAATACGTCTTTTAATTTCCTGGCTACTAGTGCCAAGAGTGTTGATTGTGGAGCCAAGCAAACTAAAGCTGTGAACAATCTCAGTCTCTTCACCGTCCATCATGGGCCAGTCGGCCCAGTGGCGAGAATCTTTGTTTTCTTGATATTGAGCCTCAATCCATACTGAAAGCTGCAGTCCCTGAAATTCTGCAGTAAGCCCTTGAAGTCCTCCTCAGATTCAGCAAGCAGGGTTGTGTCTTCTGCATAATGCAGATTGTTGATGATTCTTCCTCCAGTCCTGATGCCACATTTCTCCTCATAGATCCCAGCCTCCCAGATAATCTGTTCTGCATAAAGATTGAAAAGGTATGGAGACAGGACACATCCATGGCATACACTCTTCCCAATTTTGAACCATGCAGTGTTTCCTTGCTCTGTTCTGATGACTGCCTCCTGGTCCAAGTATAGGTTTCATATTAGCACAATCAAGTGTTCTGGGATTCCCATTCTTCTTAGAGTCAGCCACAGTTTGTTGTGATCCATATAGTCAAACACCTTTGCATAATCAAGGAAACACCAATAGACATTCCTCTGGTACTCCCTGCTTTCAGCCAAGATAAATCTAACATTAGCTACAATTCTGGTAGTTCTCTGTTGATGTACTGTTCCAGTCATTTTTGGATAATCTTCAGCAGAATCTTGCTTGCATGTGATATTAATGATATTGTTCAATAATTTCCACACTCTTTCAGATCACTTGCATCCTATCTTAGATATTCTAATTGTTTTGTTCTCATTCTCTTAATAAAATTATAATAGATAATTTTACTGTGTTGTTTGCAATAATTTCAGATAACATTGAGCCTTTAAGATCAGTTGTTAGAATGCTAGTTATTTCATTTCGTAACATACTTTTAAATATGTATTGTGTCTTTGCAATCAACTGGAAGCACAGTTGTTTCTTTTCTTGGTTCCAGGCATATGTCTTTGTAGATGTCAAAGAGAAGAGAATGCTTCCTGTTTTCTCTTCTTTAAGCCATTGCTAACTCCCGCTGTACTTCTCTCTTGCTATTTCCACCTTGTAGGCCTTCCTTAATGATGATAGAAGGATGGCCAGGTTTTCTAGTTCTACTTCTGTAGCCTTGTCCTCACATGTCTTCCCTTCTCTCCCAACTCTTCTCCCTTTGAATTAGTACCTTTGGAGTAGTTTCTTTTATAGGTGGAGGATGCAATAAGAAAAAACTATAGACTATTGAAGAGCTATACTTAAAATGAGGAATGATATTTACTAATATTTTTATGATTCTTCCTAAAGATGTTATGTTCTGTACCTGACGAGAGACTTGCTACTACAGTTGACATGGAAGAATGTGTTAATATTTTAACCATATTTTATGTGTATGAAATTGTCAAACTTTCTGTCTTTGGCTCTCCAGGATAATCTTTTCGGGACTATAGCTGCTAAGAATCAGACATCATCTCTGTTAACTCCAAGTCAAGAGAAAACAAAACTCTCGGTGCCTTCTAAGAAGAAAGTATCTGCCTTACTGTTCAGCAGTGATGAGGAGGTGGGTGTAGAGTTCTTCTAAAGAGGAGACAGTGTTGTCTGAAGGGATTAAAGATTTGTGGCTGTCCAAAACAGGGTGGATTTTTATTTTTTGCAATCTGTTTTATACCTAGTGATGTTCAATCATCAAAGAATATGCTCTCAAAATATTTTATTTAGTAAAGTGTAGTAATTTACAGATTAATCTTTTTCAAGTGGTTAAGAAAATATATGACACCGCCCCCCCACCCCGACTTTACTGATGTTGTTTAGTGCCAGTGCGGAGACTTGCCTCTTGCTCATCTACAACAGACAAATATGCTGCCTCCTATATTGTCTTTATAATCTCTTCAGTATTTAAGCCTATTTTTTAAACTACTATGTCAGTCCTTCTCCTTGAGGGTCATTTCCCCCTCCTGAATCCTTATTTTACCATGTGTGATGTCTTTGACTGAGGCCTGTTTCCTCTCGGTAAACTTTCCAGAGTATGTGGAATTAAGTCTTACCATCCTCACTTCTGAGGAGCATTCTGACTGTACTTCTTCCAAGACACATTCTTTTTACTCTTCTGGCAGTCAGTGATATATTCAGTATTCTACACCAAGACCATTTTCTTCTTCCTTCTTAGTAATGACTTTTTGCATTCTTCATGAACGATATTCTTGATATCTTCTCACAGCTTTTCTGGACTTTGTTCATTAGTGTTCAAGGCCTCAAACCTTTTCCTGAGTTGGTTTTTAAATTCATGGGCGATAGATACAAGGTCAAATTTTGATTCTTGTAGATATGATTTAACCTTCTTTAGTTTTAATTTGAACTTGCATATGAGCAGTTGATCATCTATTCCACAATCAGCACCTGGCCTAGTTTTTACTGCTGATACTGAACTTCTTGAATAGATGTATCCTGTGCATCCCATTAGGTGAAATCTATGTGTATAGTGTGAGTTTATGTTTCTTATAAAAGGTATTTGCTATAAATAAATCATTGATTTTACAGAATTCTATCATTCTATCCCCAGCCTCATTTCTGTCACCGACAACTGATCCTTCTTCCCGATTCCCAACTTTTGCATTCCAGTCACCCATTATTATTAAGGTATCTTGGTTACATGTTCGATTGATTTCTGACTGCAACAGTTGATAGAAATCATCTGTTTCCTCCTTTTTAGCTCTGGTTGTAGGCACATAAATTTGAATGATAGTGGTATTAACAGATCTTCCTTGTATGTGTGTGGACTGCCAAGAAAACAAATAGGTCTGTCTTGGAGAGGGTGAAACCAAGTCTCTCTTTGGAGGCTAGGATTTTGAAGGTCTGCCTCATTTACTTTGGACACACGGCCAGGAGAGATCAGTCCTTGGAGAGGGACAGCATGCTTGGAAGGGTGGATGGACAGTGCAGGAGAGGGATACCCCGGATGAGATGGATTGATACAGTAACTGGGACTATGGGGGTTGGTGTGTACGAATCAGTGTGACTGGCTCAGTACAGGGAAGGGTTCAGAGCTGTGCATCTCAGGAGACTCAACCAATAACACATTCTGTGAGGTTTAGAAGCAGGAGTGGCATCCTCTTCCTAAACAGCTTGCCTCGGGAAACTCTATGAACTTTGATAAATGTCAATAGTTGTAGAGGGGCTTCAGGCCTTTTGTTCATAGGGTCACTATGAGTCATGCTCTACTCAGAAGTAATCAACACCACCACCACCAAGACAAGAATTCAAAGCATCAGTTCTTCATTATTCTATGCCATACTCCAGTGTGTAGGTGGCAAGTGAATATGCCTTCATTTAGATGAAGTGACTGTAGTCCTCAAAGCAGTGTCCTTGTACTTTAGCATTTTTTAAAAAGTATAGAAATAAAGAAATGTTCTCATTTTTTCAATTTGTTGTCATTCAGTCATTCATATTCACTTTGTTTTATAACATCACATACAATTGTGCAAAGCTATCATTTACCTTGACTCATGGAAACTTCCCCGTACCTTCCTTTACCCTTCATCCTTACTATCCATTTGCTAATCTCTGCTTCCACTCCATCTGCACCCCTCCTAAAGTCATCCATCCACCGGATCATCTCTCCCCAATTGTTTATATCTGTGTATAAACCTTTCCTTAGTCTTCCTCCCTTCATTGATCAATAATGCATGTCCTACTCTAGATTTTCCTTGCATCTACATAATGTCTGATCATTCATTCATTTCTGATTGATCTACCATTCACCTATTTCAATACAGTGTTCATTGCCTAGCCATTTATTTTCTGCTTTTCCAGTCCACTGCTGCACCCCATCACCTGCCATCATATTTTATAAAAATGGCCTTATACATGATTTATCCGTTTGTAACTGAGTTATTTTACACAGCATAATGTCCTTTAGACTCATCCATGCTGTGCAGTCTTTCACAAGTTCCTCATTGTTTTATAATGCCATGTAATACTCCCTTGTGTAAAAGTACCAGTTTCTCTAGCAACAATAAAAGGAAAACATTAAAAAAAAAAAAAAGTACCAGTTTCTCTATGCATTCATTTTTTTGATGAGCACTTGGGCTGCTTCCATCTCCTACCTATTGCAGTAAACATGGGTGTACGTACCTCTATTTGCGTCATAGTCCTGATTTCTTTAGAGTATATTCTTAGTAGTGTCTTAACTGGATTAAAGGAGATTTATATTTTCAGTTTTTTGAGGAAATGCCAAACTGCCTTCCACAATTATACTGTTTTATAATCCTATCATCAGAGCATGAGAATGCCAATTTCTCCACATCCTTGCCAGCATTCGTTGTTTGCTATGCTGTTGAGCTTTACTATTGCTGCTGGCATGAAATGGTATCTTATTGTTTCATTAGCATCCCTCTATTAGCTAATGAGAACTTCATGTGTTTGTTGGCCATCTGAATAACTTTGGTAAAGTATTTTCATATCTTTTGCCCATTTTGCAATTGAGTTGTTTGTGTTTTTCTTGTTGAAGTGTTAAGAATATTCTATGAACTTTAGATACAAGTCCCTTACTAGATATGTCATTGCCAAATACTTTCCCTCAGTCTGTGGGCTTGCTTTCTACCTTATTGGAGAAGTTTTTGGTGCACACAAGGATTTCATTTTTTTTAAGGTCTCATTTATCTATTTTATCCTCTCCTGATTGTTCACTTTTGGTTATGTTTGAAAGCTTACACATGTTATAGGTTAGGATTTCTAAATTTGTTTCTGTTTTTTCTCTGATGATCTTTATAGTTTTTGTTTTTATACCTTGGCCCTTATCTACCTTAAGTTGGTTTTTGTGTATGTGTGAAGTGTGGATATCGTTTCCATTTTCTGCAGATATATTACCAGTTTTGCCAGCACCACTTGTTAAAAAAGCTATAGTTTCCCTACTTAGTGGAATTTGTCTCCTTGTCGAAGATCAGTTGACCGTACATGAATGGGTTGATTTCTGAGTTCTTGATTCTGTTCATTGGCCTGTGTCTTGACAAGGCACCAGTACCACATCTTTAGCACTTTCCAGCAGGTCCTATGTCGCTTATTTGCCCAGTGTAATATAATATGTCTCCTGAATTCTTGACTGCTGTTACTTTGGTGTTAGCTGTGGATACATTTATCTTGATGTTGTTTATTTGTCCTGTTGTGAGAATTTTTGTTTTTTTATGTTGCAATGTAATCCTTGCTAAAGGCTACAGTTTGTAAGTGCTTCAAGTCTTCTACATTTTCAGCAAGCATCCAAACTATATAGTGTATGCTTATTCAAATAAATGAGATAAGTCTTATTTTATCTATTTAAAGTTTGTTGTTTTTCATGACTCTGTAGTTAGACATGGTAGTGTAATGTACAAGCTTAATTCATTCAAAAGTTGTACTGATAATTGCTATATACTGTAGTAGGCAAGATAGGAGAGATGCTGTGTTAGATAAATCTGAAATTTGCTAATTTTATTACTTTTTTAAGTTACCAGACTAACTTTGAAAATAAAACCATACATTATACTTTGCTTTACTTACTGAAAAATGAATTTATGATTCTTTATTCTTTTTTAATAAAAGCAGTGTTAGCATTTATTATAGGAAAATTAAAAATATTAGCTGATACTAGGGATCAATACATGTTGAATAAAGAGGTGTAAGGTACCAGAATGTGACTTTCAACCTTGATTTTCTACTGAAAGCAACAGGAAACTTTAAAAGGTGATCCACCAGATGCTCTTCTGGAGAAGGAGGAGCAATCTCCTCCTGTACCAGTCAGATCCGATTTGACAGTACACACAAAAAATAATAAAATTTTTTAAAAAACTTCTCCAATAGAGTAAAAAGGGAAGCCACAGATTGGGAAAAAAATATTTGGTAATGACATGTCAGATAAGGGACTTATATCCGGAATTTATAAAATACTTGAACACCACAATAAAATGAAGGTAAATAATCCAATAGAAAAATGGGCACAGGATATGAACAGACACTTCACCGAAGAAGACATTCAGATGGCCAACAAGCACATGAAGAAATGTTCAAAGTCCCTAGCTCTAAGAGAGATGCAAATCAAAATAACTATGAGATATCATCTCACCCCAGTAAGAATAGCAAAATATAACAGAACAGCAAGCAACAAATGCTGGCGAGGATGTGGAGAAACTGGAACTCTTCACTGTTGGTGGGAATGTAAGATGGTGCAACCGTTGTGGAAGGTGGTGTGGCGCTTTCTAAAAAAATTGCAAATAGAGATACCATTTGACCCAGCAATCCCATTACTGGGAATATACCCCAGAGAGACCATGTCTGCCATCCAAGCAGATATATGCATACCCATGTTTATTGCAGCTTTGTTTACAGTAGCAAAGAGTTGGAAGCAGCCTAAGGGCCCATCAACAAACGAATGGATAGAGAAGCTGTGGTATATCCACACAATGGAATACTACACAGCATTGAAAAACAAGGAACTCATGCAATATTATTCAAAGTGGGTGACCCTGGAGAACATTATGCTGAGTGAAATATCTCAGTCACAAAGGGACAAATACTGCATGGTGCCACTGT